ATTTAGTTGATGTCTTTGTTGATTCTTTCGCCATTGTCGTTGTTTTTGCTGTAATGTTTTTTGGTTTTTTTCTACTTTCTTGAAGTCGTAATGAATCTAATAGTGACATCAGGACGATTTCTCCATTAATTAATTGAGCCATTTCCTTGTTTCTTAAAATGTAAAAGTTATCTAGAATTACAAATGAAAAAGATGAGTTAAGATTAAAGATGATAATAATAAGTACTACGATACAGAAAAAATTTATTGATAGAAGAGAAAAAAAGAAAACAAGTCGTTACAATAGATTTTGTTATATTCAGATAGTTATTTTATGTTTTACTACAAATTTGTTAGGTGGTAGTAGTTGCTCTTCGATTCGATGCTTTCGTCCTCTCTAAATGTAAACGAGTAGTTAATAAATATATTCGATATCCGATATATACTTACTTTTAGGAACTCTGTTTTGTAAGAGTGACTTTTTCGGTCGCTTACGTATAAGTTCGTTTTGAGTATTACGACGATTTCTATTTCCTACAATTAATTTGATATCTTTGTTTAGTTGTGTTTCAAATGTATCATCGAGTATTCGATGCATATCTCGTTTAAATGAATGAAAACGCTTTTCATGCGTATAGTGAACAATTATGTTCTTATTGAGTTGTGTATCTTTGTTCTCCTCAGTCTGTAATATAGGTGTTGTGTGTAATACGTTTGCATTTGTTGACGTGTTGTCTAGATCCGTTGTTGCTATACTGATAGCTATTTGTGATTGTTGACGTGTTGGTTTTCGTAATATATTTTGACGAGTATGTATAAATTGTTGTTGACTACAAATGATTGGTAGAAATGGGGATGAAGACGATGATGATATATGTTCTATTGAAAATTTTCGAAATTGTTGATCGATAAATGTGAATGGATAACTGAAAAATGTTCATTCTTTTTACATTTATCAATTTTTTGTTTAATGACTTACCCATTATATAATAACATTAGTTTAATGTAAAGTTGTTCATTTTGAAATGCTTGATATGTAGATGAATATCGTACAGCTTTTGTAAGTGCATTTTGTACAATATTTTTAAAAACATGCCGAGGATGATCAGATATAAACGGTGTAACATATGGTTCCGCTGCTGGCTTATGATAGACAGATGTTGATAGAATACCATTATTATTTGTAAGAAGTACATCAAGAAATGGAAGACTTTGACCGATTTTATAATCTAATCTAATATTTGGATGCCATGTATTTGCTTGATCTAATAATTTTCGTAATTCTTTTTCTGATCTATTCCATGTCATAAAAATATCATCAATATATCTGAATAGAAAATGAAGGACAAATATAGTTGCTTTCATTTTAGACTAGTTACCTTCCATAGAATTCACAGGTAATATCTTGATGACGAACAAATTCTTTTTGCCATTTCCACATAAATATATTGGCTAGAGTTAATTTAAATGATGAACCCATTGCTCCACCAGTTGTTTGTTTATAGAATTTTTTACCATAGACAAATACATTTTCTTGTAATACAATTGACGCTAATTCTTTTATTGTAATGGGATCAATGCCTGTGACTTTTGTATATCCATGTACATTAAGAAATTCAATTAATATTTTCAATGATTCTTCTTGTGGTAACATAGTATATAAATTATGAATATCAAACGTACAGAAAAGAGTTGATGATTTAAATAGACCTTTTTTAGTGTATTTATCAAGTCCATCAATTAACGAAGCACCGTCAATAATGATTGTATCCTTACATTTATCGTTGAATATAGGTTGTAATATTCTATCTAAAAATTTTGAAATATTTGTTGTTGAAGCATGAGTCGTATTTTCAATTGGACGAACTGGTATATCATCCTATAATAGATAATTAAATAAAAAAATCAGATAAAATTTTAAATGTACCTTATGTGTTTTCGGATTAAAATATAAATGAGATAATTCACATTTTTTTTCGATCAGGCATCATTTCATTATAGTGCCATTGTCGAATACGATCGTTTCTACGAAGTTTATTGAGTAATTGTATGACTTTATTGAAAATTTCATTGAATGGATTGTCGGATAATTCTTTGAAAGCTTTTGTATCAGAAAAGAATTTCTGTGCTTTTTTATCAAAGTCAATCGCTGAACCAATGTAAAAATTATGACCTTTATCAGTAAGACGAATAATTAGATTTTGTTTTTGAATTAATATTCGAATAGATGTAGCAATTCGTGCTTGCTGTTGAGCTTGTATGTAATCTTTATATTGTAATGGAGTAAAATATGAATGTTGAAGATAATTACGAAGATTTGTTGAATATTGTTTAAAAACTGATGCTCCCAACGGAATACCTTGATTTTTAATTAGATCTCGTTCAATTTTATTATAAATCTCTTTATGTTCCTTTTCTATTTCTTTTATTTGTTGTTTATGTGGACGGATAGCACTTTGATTTAATCTTATATAAGATGGACCTAAAGTTCAAAACAATTTTTATTTTGTTATGTAAAACTTGAAGAAATCATACCAAGTGTAAGTTGATTCCATTGTAATCGATTGAATGGATTCTTGATGAGATCAAGATATGGTTCAGGTGATACACCAATCATATTTTTAGTAGATGAGGAACGTTGACGATTTTTAAGTAGTATACCTCGAGATGATGATATTTTCTTCGAAATATCTTGTTTTAATCGATTTGTTCGATAAGTTAAATATTCATTGATCTTATTGAGAATAGATGAACCATCGATTGTAATACGATTTAATAGGTGTATTTCCAATTGTTTAAATTCATTTTCATATTGTTGTTCATATTTTTGTAATTGATGTTCATAAGCATTGAAGAAAATATTTAACCAAGCACGTTTTGCTTCTTGTATAAATTTATAACGTTTATTTTTGAGTTCAATACTACGTTGATCGTTATTCAATGGTAAATAAATTATAGATCCAATAAAATGTTCTAAATGACCAAAGTTTTCTGGTAAAAATTTGCATAAAATGCGCAGTTGTAATATAAGATAATCTTTCCAAATTTCTCCTTGTTGTTGACGTATTGTTATTAATTTATTTATATATTCAGTCTGAGGAAAAAAAAAAAACAAAAACATTCAATTGTTAAAAATCCTGATATTTTCTATAATGTTATACAATAGTCACTTACCAAATTTATGGATAATTGATAAGTAGCAATTGTTTTGTATAAATCTTTTTCATGAATAGTCTCTTTAAATTTAATTAATTGATTATTATTTCTCGTTGATAAATAGTTTCTTTCACTATGAACATATTCTTTTAGACAATGATCAATCTGTTCTAATGATAGACCTGTTGTTGGACATGTTTGAGATTGTTTGTCTAATTCTAATTGACATTGATACAATAGTTTTTTCAAATATTCCAGATAATTAAGAAGATATTTATGGCATAGCTGAGTATCAGTCGCCGTATTTGCCATTTTATAGAGTGCATCCTAGATATTTGATAAAATAATATTTATGTGACTAGAACTATTGAAAAAGAAAGAAAACAGAAAAAACTTACTGGCCATATATGTTGTTGTAAACCAATATCTAAATAAGATTGCCATAAATGTTGATAGACTTGTAGATAATAGTGTTGATCGAATAGATCCAGTCGTATGTAGATAAATTTTTGTTCATGTTCTTTCTTTAAGAAATATTTTAATCTTGTAGCTAACTTCTTGAAAAGTAGAGGTGGTGATTGTGTCAAATACAATGGTCGTCTAAAAAGAAATAATTTCTCTATATTGATAATCAATTTAAAGATGAACTAACCGATAGTTCGTATTCATTATATTATTATTAATCACGATGATGGATGAATCTATAATTATTTTATTATTTTCTTTTTTGGTTTTTTTCATTAATGGTTGTGCTAGCGATATTGAACTTGTTGATTTTCCTATAATTTGATTCGTTGTATTTAATGTTTGTAAGGATAGATCTCGTTTGCGTTTGCTAAGATTTGTCATTGTTGAAACTGGTACATTTACAGTATTATTACTTGTATTTGTGACATTGTTCTTTGTTGAATTCTTCTTATTTTGAATTTGTTTTCGTCGAGCAAGTTTTTTCTCTATTAATGTTGCATTCATTCCTTGTGCACGACATTTTCTTCTAAAACGTTGATCTTGTCGATTACCATGACATTTTTTCCGTTGTGGTTGTTGATTCGAAATTGGAACATTGTCTTGTCTATTCATATTGTTAATATTCGTTCTTGGTAGATTACTTAATGTATATGTAATAATATAAAATGATGAATTTATCTGAAAAGAAAAATGATATAATGAACTACAACTAAACAAATGAGCAAAACTTAAGATTTCGATAGGATAGATTGAACTTTAAATTTATAGATACATTGAATACGTTCACTTATTTTTTGACAACGTTCATCGATTATATGAATCATCATTGTAGTTAACTTTTCCGTGTCATTCAATGAATGTTTAGATGAATACATTGTCTTTATATCCTCTTCATGTTTCTTTTTATATTGTTGTCGTTGATCTTCAGCTGATTTCATATACGTAGCAAATAAACTCTCTCTAGATTGTAAGGCAATGCTTTTATATTGTTTAAATAATTCTTGTCGAATATCTTGATCTTCAATAGAATCAAGTAATGTCGAATGAGCTATCGGTGAAGAATCAAATGATTGATTTGGTGAATTATAATAAGCAATTAGTTTTTGTAAGAAATAATATTCTTGCTCTGTTGTTTCTTGTGCATATTTACTTTGACAAATTTGTTTCATTAGTTGTTCCTACAAAAATACTCGATAGATTAAGAAAAGAATGTATTTCAAATAAAAGAAACAAACTTGATATTTATTTGGATTATGATGAAAATATTCTAATTTCAATGCATGAATATGATAATCATAATGAATAAGTTGTACTTTATGTTCAATTTCCATACGTATAGAATAAAGATTTTGTTCAATATATGTTTCAATCATTTTTTGAACTGACGATGTATAACCTTGGAAACGATTGGCTTTAATATTCAATTCGGTTTGGTTTTGTCTTAATTGTTGTTCTAATTCATTTAAACGATCATTAACATATTTTAAATAGGTGTCATTTGTCTTATCCATATTTTTTGATTGTACCATTGTTTTGATATCTTTTGGCCATAGTGATAAAGTTGTTGAACAAGATAATTTTATTTTCGATGAAATAATCAATTGTCCCATACCTGATTTTAAATATGCAGCCCAAAGAAGTTGATAAGATTGTATAAGCATTATTCTATAGATTAGAATCGCTATTTTTCGTAATTCTTCTCTTTTATCAGTATCATCCGATGACGTTGTTGTTATTTTCGACAGTGCTTGATGCAAAATTTGTTTGAAAGATTTATTTTGTTTTGTTAGATAATTTGGAATTTTTTCAATATTAATTTCAATGTCTTTATTTGAATTTATTATTATATTGGTAGATAACTGATTCATATTTTGTGATAATCGTTCTATCTCCATATTCTTATTAACAAAAATAAAAATAAAAGCGAGACGTTATGAAAACATATATATAGTTATCAAATTTCTATTATTTACCTCATGTCGAAAACTGGAATTTTTATTCTGTGTTGCCATTGTTATTAGAAGACAAAGGAAAGAATTTGATCAAGAATTGAAGAAAATTATTATCTTATCTATGCGATTGTTTATGTGCGATGTTGATCAAGGATTGAAATAGATAGCTTGATATTTATACATAAATATCTATCTGAAAAATGTACATAATAATTACATATATATATATATATATATATACAGAGGGCAAGACATGTAACTAAATATAAAAGAAAATGAAGAAAAAATTGCGAAATATATATATAAGCTATGATTCATTGTCAATTATTTTGAATGTTTCTCTTCATAACGTTGAATCATTTCATCGAATTCATATTGTCCACCTATACGTTCTTCATTGCTACTCATGGATGAAGTGCTATTTGATACTTGATTACCATCTGCAGTTCAGAGCTGGGCAAAGTACTCGAAGTACTCGTACTCGAGTACGATTTTGCTCGTACTCGTACTCGTACTCGTACTCGGGGGGGGCCGGTACTCATACTCGTACTCGTACTCGAGGGGTCGGTACTCGTACTCGTACTCGTACTCGGGAGAGCTGGTACTCGTACTCGTACTCGGACCGATTTGTTTTCGTACTCGAGGATATAATCTGGAAGTTTTCGATTAATAATACATTGAATGTATATGACTAATATTTAAGTAATATATAAATTATTCCATCTTTCTTTATCTTTAATAAATAATTCAGTCCTTTGGAATAACTATTAGTTATTGTTGTTGTTGCTGTATACATCTTATTTGAATTTATCTATTAAAAAGTACTTTAACGAGAAAGACATATTCTGACTATATGTATACATCTATACGTTCTTCTTTCATTTTCTTCTTTTTCGTTTACTTTTCTCTTCTCTTTGGATCGCTTATACGTGTATATATATATAGGTCATTCTTTTTTTTCTTCGCCCATACATATATATGTACATATATATATAGGCCATTCTTTTTCTTTTTCGTCCATGAGAATCATTGAAATTCTCATATTCTTTTCTTATTTTACTTTTCTAACTGGTTATACAATCAGAAAAACAAATATATTACATAATCTTCTTTGTTCAGTGTTAATCTACATTGAAGTATAAAGAATTTACTTGAATTTTCAGTCTATCTTTTACTTTTTCTCTTGTGTTGTGTGGACGGTTGATGAGGTATAAAAGGCAGTATTTTTCTTCGAATAAATCAGTTTGATCCATTCGAATTCATATCTCCATCAACTTATTCTTTATTTATTTATTTATCATTTGTTATTCGTCTTTATTTATCTATTTATCATTTGTTATTTGTCTTTATTTATCTATTTATCGTTCGTTATTCGTCTTTATTTATCTATTTATCATTTGTTATTCGCCTTTATCTATTATGGCTACAATACCAGCACTATTCAAGAATAATTCTGATGTTCCTGTTGTTGTCATCCCAGATGATGTTCAATGTTCATCTCTAGTCAAAGAATTCTTCTCAGATTTATATATTACTATGGAAAAGAATAGGTGGACTGCAAAATGTAAAAAGTGTTCATTGCCTATTAGTGATACACTAAAAACAACTTCCAATTTCGTAAAGCATATGAAGAATAAACATCAACATATGTATGGAGAATGGAAAAATACTCAAGTTTCTTCCAGTAAAGAGAATGATCAACCAAAAATAAACAATATTTTTAGTCCTGATAGTGAAAAATATTCAACAGCTAACAAACGACAACAACAACTCACTAATAGCATTATTCAAAATCTTATTATTAATATGAGTCTTCCATTATCAATTGTTGATAATGCATCATTCAAGCATTTTATGAATGATGTTGATCCAAAATATAAACTAATTAACAGACGAGATATTACTCGTTCATATTTGCCTGTTTTACACAAAAAATGTGTATCGAAATTACAAGATATATGTGCACGATCAAATTATATTAGCCTCACACTTGATATATGGAGTGATCGTCGGTTACGTTCATACTTTGGTATTACACTTCATACCATTATTAATGATATATATAAATCCTTTCTTATTTCATTCGAACGACTCGAAGGAACACATTCAGCTGATAAAATTGCAGCTGAATTTGATCGAGTCATTCAGCTTTATAACTTAAAAGACAAAGTGGTCCGGTTGATCACAGATAATGCAAGTAACAATTTAGCTGCTTTTGACAATATCATTCTACCTGGTTTTGAAGAGTATTTTGAAGATGTGGTAGATGATCAATTAGATACTGAATCAAGTAGCGATGAAGAAACTGATATTACATCTAATGAAAGTAAACGTCTACAAACACATGTAGTTGATGATAGTATTTATCAAACAACATTGAATCCAACAGCTGAAGATGAATATTTACGTCTGCCATGCTTTGCTCATTGCCTCCAATTAGTGGTGAATGATGGCATTAAAGCTAGTAATCCTGCATTATCATCTCTCAAAAAGGTGGCTAGTTTAGCTAAACTTGCTCATACTAGTACAATATTTAGTGAAAAATTAGAAAAAGCTAATTATAGTATTCCAAAAGCTAATCGTACTAGATGGAATAGCCAATTTCATACAGTGAAGAGAGTTATCAACATTCCATCGTCAACACTAAACACAATTTTAAATGATATGAAGAAAAATGATCTTATACTTACTACTAAAGACAGAAAAATTTTGGAAGATTTTACATCTTTATTTGAATTATTTAATGAAGCTACTGTATTAACACAAGGTGAAACATATGCTACTGTAAGTTTTGTTGCTCCTACTGTTCTTGGCATTCTATTTGATCTTGAACGTGAACTAGCTTCTTCAACTTTAACTCTTGTTTCTTTATGTAAAGCTCTTATCGCATCTATTAAGGCTAGATTTAGTGGACTACTTCGTCATTTTGAAATTGAAGTGCCTTCCGACTCTTATTGTATGTCAGAAAGATTTTCTGATCCAATTTTTCTTATTTCTCCTCTTTTTGACGCACGCTTTAAATTATTATGGCTTGAAAGTTTTCATACTATTGTTAAATTGCGTGTTATTGAAAAAATTCGTAATATGTTTGTTCGTTTTTTTTTGTAAATTAACTTTTTATACAGCACAGAATGTCCAGGCTGATGTCTCAAATGCTGGTGAACAAGGTGGTACAGATATTATTACGAAGAATAATGATTCGTCTACAAAAAGAAAATGTTTGTTTCCTTATCTGCATGAAACGAAAAAAGTATCTTCTGATGATAAATCAAGACTTTTAATGGAACTTGATTCTTTTTTATGCGAGGAAAGTTGTGAAGAAAATTTACTTTTCGATAAAAAGCATTTATACCCATGTTTATATCAACTCGCATTGAAATATTTATCAGTACCAGCAACATCTGCTTCCATCGAAAGGATATTCTCTCAAAGTGGGTTCATCATGCGGCCACATCGAGCATCATTAACAGCAAAAAATGTTTGCTTACTTACTTTTCTCAAATGTAATAAGATGTTAATGTAATTTAGTGTTCATAAAGTTGATCATAAAGAATAATAAAAATAATATTTTCTTTTCGCTTTCATCATATTCTGTTTTAACATATACACGTACATCACATGTTTTACAACTATGTACACAAAGTTTCCTACCAGCTGTTTCAAAAACTCTAAATCACGCTCGATACAATGGTACTCGTGCTAGTACTCGAGTACGGTTTTGTCGTACTCGTACTCGAGTACGATTTTGTCGTACTCGTACTCGTACTCGTACTCGGGGGTTGGTACTCGTACTCGTACTCGTACTCGGGGGGGTCGGTACTCATACTCGTACTCGTACTCGGGGGGTCGGTACTCGTACTCGTACACTGTAAAAAAAAAAGGGCATCTGAATCAACCGTTGCCCTTAAAAAAATGTTTTATAAACCTTTGAAAGGTTCATGCTGATGTCAAGTACTCTTCAGGAGTTTATGATTCAAAACGTTTTTGGCAGTGAGGGTATATAAAGATGAAAAGGGTATGTAATACATATTTAAGGGGTTTCTAGTCAACGTTTTCATCGAAAGAGTTTATTCTTGCACCGATAACGATACATTATCCAACGCTTCTGTTAAAATCATATATTATTGTACGCATAAGGGTACATCATTCTACAATACTAGCAGAAGAGTTTATTATTCTACACATAAGAATAGATCATTCAACGATAGCAACAAAAAGGTTGATTACTCTACAGTTTTAAACAAAGAATTTATTATTCGACGACCTAAGATAGATTGTT